CCTAACCATGTGCAAGTGCTGCTTGAAGCTTTTTGGGGCTCAGCTGCCTTGTCTGGAGCTCACCTGTTGTACACATGGCTCAGGTTGTCATACGAAGGGATGGCAAACACGCTCTGACCCCAGGGGAGAAATGGGGATGGAAGAAATTCTCTCCATCTGTGCAAAATCCCCAGGGGGTTTTCAGCTGATGTGGATACTATTTGATGATCTTCTTCCAAAATATTTTGTTTTGCACTAATTTACTAAAGCAACTGTATATTCATTTTTGAAGAACTATATTAAAAAAAATCTAGATAAAGAAGGCACAATGGACTTGGCTGAATTCCATTTCAGTGTACATAAAATTCTTTTCAGAATTTCAAATGTAGCTTCTAGAAGACTTTCAAACAAACTGTGTAAAAACTTGTATTCATGTGAACCTTTCCATTTTATACCTATTTGTCTAATACTTGAGTAACTACTGCTCTGGACTTTCTCAGTAATAGCAATGTTGAGTTGCTGGTTGTTTGCTTTTTCTATAGATTTGGTTGCATCTTTTGTTGTGCATGCAATATGTGCATTAATGCCTGCAGTCTTTAGGGGTGTAATGACAGTTCTCTGTAGTTTGTTTCTTGGGCAGTATTACAATAAATACTGTAAACTGAAAGGTTCTGCAAGGAACCATGCAAAAAAAAAATTAAAAAAAAAAAACAAACCAGAAAATAATGTTGTGGTTTGAGATGCTGATAAAATGATGTAGAATCTCTACATATAGAGTGTGTGAAAAATCAGGATTATTTTGTGTGCATTTTGGGGGAGAGGTGGGAAGCTTCATTTAGCCTTATAGGCATTGTCATTTCAAGCATCCCATGAGATCATCAGGACAGCAATTTGCAAAGTATTTGGGCAGATCAGCTTCTCTGGAAATGGTTCCTATACTTTGTTTTTGGGACTTTTTTGTTACTCAACTGCTTGAATACTTGAATAAACCATTCTCCAGGACAAAATCATTTTAATCCTCTTAAACACAGTGGTCTGAACTATTTGACAAAGTTGTACAGGGCTTACACATCAAAATATTGTTTCAGTGTTGGGATAACCACGTGTTTCCTTTACTTTGACAGAGTAATGTACTTTTTACCTTATTTATCTGTATGAAATTCCAACAGTTAATTTGAAAGTGTTTGTTTATATAATGTTTGTATTTTTAGGTCTTTAATACGGTGTTTCTACCTCTCCTTTGTAATTGCATGCATTATTCTTGGAACTAGGTAATAACTCACTGAACTGTTGCGTAATAGCCTTTTTATTATGGCCTGTATAAATGTATATTAAGGTAAAAATAAATACTGACACTAGAAGTGTTTCTATGGTACAACTGAGTTGCTGTGTCTCTGTGATCAGAGGTGTTAAATTTAGGAAAAATTCTCTTATTTGCCTGGGTAAAGAAGTTGCTGAATGTTCCCCTCAGCAGGGCAGGATGGGGCAGCATCCTTGAGTTCATGATCTCTGGATAGCTCTGGAACAAAGTGTCCCTGAGTTTGTTTTTCCCTGGCTTTAGCAAGACAATTTACCCTGCTTCTTTTTTTTTTTTTCCCCATTTTTTTTTAAACTTGGATTGGAAGACAAAAATGCTAAGTAGGATCCTGGGTAACAGCTGTATGATCTTTCAACAAGGTGCTTGTTTGTTGCCTCTAGCAAAGGGGAGCTGTTGGGGCTGCCAGAACAGCATATACAGAGCTAATTGACAAAAGCTGGCAGGAAGTTACAATTTCTATCCAAAAAATGGGCTTTGTTCACCTCACAGCCTGTACCCTCTGCCCAGCTGAGATATGCTGTGGTAGCTGCTGTGTGGATATTGTATTTTTGAGTTATACTATCAGATTTTCCCCAATTTATTATTAAAAACCCCTCCACTTGTGAGTGGCACATAAAGAGGATGAGGAAGGAGTGAGCTGGGAATGCTAATGATGTCTGAGCCCGAATCTAGGAACAAAGCAGCAGCTTTAATGCACAAGTCTAGGAGATAGGCTGCTTTTCTCAGGAACTCACTGGGTTTTGTTGGTTTTCTTTCTTCCCTTTCAGGATTCAAGCTCATTCTCCTTCCCCTCTTGCCAGCAAGGCTACAGCTGCACAAACAGGAGGAGAAGAAAAGGGCTATTCTTGCTGGCTGTTTTCAGGAGGAGGAGACCAATGTTCATGGCCTGTCTTTCTGCATAAACTCATTCCCCAAAGATCCTGAAGCTGTCCTCTGTCTTTGGCTCTCCGTGCTGAACAGCAGGTGCTTGTTTTTATAAATACTTCTTTTTCTCCAGCCTTTGAAAGACAGAACTTGAGAGATTTGCTGAACTTTTCTAGCTCAGCTCTCCTGCATCTCCTTGAGTGTTCTGCACTTGCTCCACTCTGTCCATTTTACAAAATGTCAGCTGAGGAATCTACAACACTTTTTGATTCTGACATTTGCTGCTTTTCATAAGCAAGAAGTTGAACTCTCAACCCTTCCTCTGACACAGAGGAGGAAATTCTGTTAATTTAACTTGCAACTAAGGTGCTACAAATTATTCCAAGGAGCATTTTGAGGAGGGAGCTGTTCCTGGGACTGCCTGTGTTTTGCATAGTTCTTGATGTTATCTTGTACAGCTACATCCAGTTATTATCACATCATCTCAGGGTTCAGAGGCAATAACTTGTGATTCACCCATGTCCCAATAACCAAAAAGGGAAAGTTGTTTTTCATCTGAAGCAGGGAAAGCTGGATCCTGCTGCTTCCAAAGCTTGTTGAGGCTTTGCAATTCAGATAAGCTGGCTTGTGACCTCACTTGTGACCCACCTCCTTTTTGATTCCTGCTTCTTCTCCTATTTTGGGGGGCTTTTTAATTTAAATTTTGATCCTTTGACTTTTTTTGCCTTCTCTGAGCTCTGCTTGCCACTATCTTTTTTCACAGTCCAGGATGCCTTTTAAGTCTTTAAGCAGATCTCTTTTCATCCTGAACTTCCCCATCTGACCTGAGCCATGGTCCTGGCTGTGGCTTTTCCCAGAGTGCCCCCACAGCTCCTCCTTTTTGCAGAGGAGTGGAGTCCATCAGGGTAACCCCTCTCCTGAGGTCTCCAAGTCAGCTGGAGCCCAGCTGAAGGAAGCCTTGGCACTGCTCCTTGGGACAAACACCTTTTCAATAGGCTTTTGTGCACGGCAGGCTCCCCCCTCCTCGCTGCCTGAAAGCCAGCCGAGTGCCAGTGGGGCTGCTGAGTCTTGTTGCAGTCCTTGTGCCAATCATTCCCATTGTTTCTTTGTGTCCCTTTCACATTTTCCATGGCCTGAACTCTTGTCCACAATGCAGCCCACAGACCAGGGCTGTGTGTGACACAGTATCTCCTTCTTGGGAATGTGAGATCAGCCCCAGCTTTCAAAACAAGTGATGCCATAAATGAACTGAGCTGCATTGATTCCTGTAGGTTCCTCAAAATCCTCTCCCTGTTGTTCATCTTCTTTTATGGTCAAGTGCTGTTTGGGTTTGGGATCTGGCTGGGTTATGTGACTTCCAGAAAACGCTTGGGATTTGAGACTAGGCAGACATTTAATCAGAGACTGAAGATTGTGGCTGAAAACTTGAAGTTCTGTGAGTGTGGTGTGTCAGCTAAAAGGACATTTATTGATCAGCTGCATTATTTGGTGGACTCTTGAAACCAAATACTGCACAGTTTATCTTCCAAACCAAAGTCCTCCTTCCCAAGGCTCTGCTGGGTGCTTTTGGAAGCACAAAGGGCTGCTCCCCAGGGCAGGGCAGCCGGTCTGATTGCTGTTAATTGATTCCAAGAGGGGAGTGAGGGCTATAAGGAGTGAGGGTAGGGGGGAATCTTGAGCTCAGCTTCTCAATAAAACACCTTTTGCTGCTGTAACTACAGATTAGAGCCCCCCCAGCACTGCTCACCTCCCAGTTCCTCTGGAGTTCCATTGCTTTCCCATAAATAGCTCCCTTTATTGTTTCTTAGTGATTGAATTAAAATAGAAAACACTGCCAGCTCCCAGGTGTGGGGAGCACGGGGTATTCCTCTGTCTCACTCGAGATCCCACACTTCCCTGAAATCCTCGTGTCTCACCCAGCTGAGACTCTGCAACGCTAAAAAAAAGCCCTCAGCTTTGTTCCCTGTCCCCAGCTGGCCAAAAGATGTCCCTGACAAGGACCAAGAGGGACTCTCTCCCAGGATGTGAGAAGGTTTATCCCCACTCACCGCTGGGATCACTGGGAGCTGGGATATTTGTTCCCAGTGCGTGCTGCCAAGTACAAGCAGCACTGTTGTGACATGAAAACCCTCTGGGCTGATGGGTGAGAATTTTACAAGCTCTGGAGAATCCATCCACCTCCCTGCTGGTGCTGGGAGGGTGCAGCCTGGGTGTGTGCAGTGCAGCACCATTTCCACAGGCACAATGTAATGCTGCATGCTGACAGCTCAGGCTTTTCCTCTGATTGCAGCACCGTTAATCCTTATCCAAATTCCCTTGGGCCTGCACAGAGCTGCATCCTGCCTGCAAGGATGCTGACAGGATAACGGGGAGCATTTCCATCAGGCAACGGTCCTGTGAGGAACATTCCTGCTTCTACCCATGTTTATTTCAATGCAAACCCAGCTTTTCTCGCACCACGTGGAAGGGCCCTGTCAAGCCCAGCCTGTTTTTCCTTCTCATGTTGCCTCCTGCACACAAGTTTTAGCAGTTGCTCATGTCATTCTTCTCCACAGCGGGGTGTTTACTGCCAAAATTTGTGCTACAGCTTGTGAAATGTTCCTGCTGAGCCACAGCCCAGGACGTGTTAGTGAAGCCAAGTGACCACAGAAGCCAAGCTTGGTGTTGGGGGCAGTCGTGGTTCTGCACAATCTGAGGCCAAAAGGCACTCCCAGCTTCGGAGGGCCGTGTTGATGTGGGAAAATGGGATTAAACTCTGCAGGAAAAGGTGCCAGCCCTGTGTGCCAAGGAGGTGCAGCATGCATGGCTTCAGTGGGGTACAGCTGCAGCCGAGGAGCTTTAGCACTGAAGGCTCTGGGTAAATCGTGTCACACGAGAGGCAGCGTGTAACAACCTGCACACAATTTTTAAATAACCACCGTGCTTTTCCCAGAACGAGTTGTGGCAGGTCTATTTTTAACCGGAATGTGCCCAACCTTGCCCGAGCTCCTTTCTCCGCGTTTTTTTCTGGCTCGCTTCCCACGCCACGACTGCATCAAGGTTAACTGGACCGTCCTGCCGGGCTCCTCCTGCCTCCCCCAAAGGAGCACCAGCCCGGTTCTGCTCGCCCTCCGTGGCAGGGCAGGGCAGGGCCACCCTCGGGCGCCGCTGCCCCGCTCTTTCCCCGCTCCCTGCCCCGATAAGGCTCCGCAGGGACTCTGCCCTCCGCCCCCAGAGCAGCCGCACGCCCCGGCAGCATTTCACAACCGGCCCGGCAGCGCCAGACCCGCTGCCACCCGCGGAGCCCACGGAGCACGGCAGGAGCATCCCCGAGCGCGGGCCAAGGTAGGGCGGTACGGCGGGGACACGTCCTTCACCCCGCCCTGCTTCTTCCTCCTCCTCCTCCTCTCTCCCACCAGGACCACCGGGCAAGGGAGGGGGAGCGGCTGCCCCGCGGCCTCGCCCGTTCCGCTTCCGTCATGTGAGCGGAAAGAGGAAGCGGCTGCGGCGGCGGCGACCCCGGTGGGCGGCGGGGCCGCGGGGGCGGAGGGTCCTGCCCGGGGCGGAGGGCACCGGCCGGGGGGAGAACCGGCGGCTCGCAGCCTCCGTGCCGCAGCCGCCGCCACGGTTGTCACTGCCTCACGCTCGGGGGTCCCCGCGGTTCCCCGGGGGATAGAGGGGGGTCCCCATCCCGCCGGGTTCTCGCCGGGTGTCGCTCGGTACCGCGGCGCGCTCCGCCCCGCCGGGAGCAGCCCCCGCTTCCTCGGTGGCATCCCCACGCTGCCACCAACGCCCTGCGCTGCTTCTCAAACTTTTCTAACTCGGGAGTTACGTAAGGCTTCAGGGAGATGCGGCGGAATTAGGGACGAGCGGCGGAGGGCTCGCTGCCTGGCGATGGGGCGGGGGGAGCGGCGGGAGGGCGCCCGGTGCTTGTGGGGACAAGCCGGGCTGTGCGGGCCGGGCAGGGCCCTGTGGTGAGCTGGGGGTGGCCGGTGTCTCCTCAGTGCTGAGCAGCCATGGAGAAGATGCAGCAGATCGTGGGGCGGGCCAGGGCCGCCTTCAGGTCGGGCCGGAGCCGCCCGCTGGAGTTCAGGATCCAGCAGCTGAAGGCCCTGGAGAGGATGGTGCAGGAGAAGGAGAAGGAGATCCTGGCAGCCCTCAAGGCCGATCTGAACAAGGTCTGGGTCGGGGAGTTTCTCTCATCAGCTGTGCAGGGACAGTGGTTGGCCCTGAAGGGAAAGTGGGAAGGGCAGGGGCTGCCTTTGCTGTGCTAAATGACTTTTGCCCTTGTTCCCCTTGGCCTTGTCCCAGTGTGGCCTGCAAAGTTCTGCTGCCACCATTTCAGAGAAGGAGTTAGTCTAAGGCAGAACTGCAAAGGCAGTCAGGTTTTGGGTTCTGCCTCACACACCCAGACTAGCCATCTTTGGCCAGGGATCCTGACAGACACCTTGAAGCAGTAGGGCTGTGATGGTGGCTGTGGGAGGTGGGTGCCTTTTCCATCCCTTCCCCAAACTCCCTGTTGTTTCAGTGTGGGCACAACGCCTACAGCCATGAAATCCTGGGCGTGCTGAGTGAGCTGGCCCTCACCATGGAGAAGCTGCCATCCTGGGCAGCCCCTCAGCCCGTGAAGAAGAACCTGCTGACCATGAGGGATGAGGCCTACATCGGCTACGAGCCCCTGGGGGTGGTGCTGATCATCGGGGCCTGGAACTACCCCTTTGTGCTGGTGATGCAGCCCCTGATCGGGGCCATCGCAGCAGGTGGGGACCCTGCAGGGCCTTGGTGGGGTGGTGGCTGGGCGTGGGGAGGGGATTGATGGCTCAGTGTCCGTGCTGTGTGTGGCCTGCAGGTACTGGAAGGGCAGAAGATCGCTTATGGGGGAGAGACTGATGAGGCCTCCTGCTTCATAGGTGCTCCAGGCAGCTGCTGTGGAGGGGAGGTGGTGGTGGGTGCTTTGTGGGGTCTGTTTGTCTGTGCCTCACTTGGGCTATGTTGAACAGCCCAAGGTGCTGTGCTGGGCCAGGTCTGTGTCCTGCTCATGCTGTTCTCCCATTTGCCTCAGCACCAACCATCCTCACGGATGTTTCCCCGGAGTCCAAGGTGATGGAGGAGGAAATCTTTGGACCAGTGCTGCCCATTGTGACTGTGAAGAGCGTGGAGGAAGCCATTGAGTTCATCAACCTTCGGGAGAAGCCTCTTGCTCTGTATGTCTTCTCCAACAACAAGCAGGTGGGTCTGGGCTGTGCCAGAGCAGCTGAACGTTGTTGAAATGTAGCTCCCTTCCCTTTGTATGCTTAGTTACGTGGTCTGGTCTCTTCTTTGAGCCTTTTTAATATTTTGGTTTTTTTTTTGGTTTTTTTAGTTAATCAAGAGAGTCATCTCAGAAACCTCCAGTGGTGGTGTGACTGGAAATGATGTCATTATGCATTTCTTCCTGTCAACTTTGCCTTTTGGTGGTGTTGGTAAGTTACTGGAGCTCCTTAAGAGTTGGGGCTTAATACACAGTGTACCTCAGAGAACAACTCATGGTTTGTGTCTGGGTATCCCTGTGCCTCCTACAGCTCAAGAGTCTCTGTGCAGCAGATTTGATAATAATTGTAATTTCTGTGAGTGCAATAGGACAGGAGCCAGGAGGGAAAAACCTTTGGGTGTATTTTTGGAAAAACTGAAGCATTTAGTGCAGCCTGCTGGGAAAGGTGCATTAAAACCATTAGCTGCAATCAGAGTGGCTGGTGTAAATGAGGTGAGGAAGAAGAGGGTTGGCGTACAGATGGACACCTTAGAGACTGAGAAGTGCTGCAGGGGAAGGCTCAGTTGTCCTCAGGAGGGCAGAGTTTAGGCTGGCTGAGCCTGAGGAGTGAGCTGCCTGGCTGTGTCCCTCAGGCCACAGCGGGATGGGCGCCTACCACGGCAAGCACAGCTTCGAGACCTTCTCCCACCGCCGCGCCTGCCTGATCAAGGACCTCAAGATGGAGAGCACCAACAAAATGCGGTACCCACCTGGCAGCCAGAAGAAGGTGGACTGGGCCAAGTTCTTCCTCCTGAAGCGGTTTAACAAGGCCCGAATTGGGCTCTTTGTCCTGGCCCTGCTGGGGGTTGTGGCAGCGGTGATGATTAAGGTGAGTTTTGGGTCTTTGCTGTCTATGGCAGTGCATGTGCAATTTACTTGACCTGTTCTTTGCAACTGCAGCCCTTTTATAAAGCCTGGCCTCTTTTTCTGTCTTGAGGTTTATAATATCTGTCCCACCTTAAATTCTTACCTTCTCACTCTTGCAAGCCGTCTGTAGAATAGGAATATCCCCGGAGAGATCTGCAGGCTGCTGTACTCCTTGTTGCTCTTCCCTGGTAGGTGACACCCGTGGGATGCTCCCTCCAGAGGCAGAGGTTGGTAGTTTTGGACTGGTTAGGCGTGGTTTCCATCCCACGGCTTCCTTCAGCAGCGTTTGAGCTGCCTCACAGCCCAGAGAGCTGCGGTCTGTGCCGTGGCACCCTGGGGAGGGAAGCTGTGTCCCAAAGCGGGAGTCTGTGACAAACTTTTATTCCTCCTTGCCCATTGCAGCCCCTGTCTGACCTCAGCTCAATTATTCCCATTTCCTCCCTTGTTTCCAGCGGGGTAGTGCGGAAGGGTGGGATGTCCTCTCCTCTCTGCAGGAGACAGAGGCTTGCAGGAGGCTCAGGATGCCTCCTGAGGTGGAGGAGCAAGATCTGAATCTCTTAAGTGTGATCACTGCTGGTTGTCCATGTCTGACAAACCAGACACTGCATGTGCCTTCACTGACTGCTCCGTGGGCTTTACTGAGCTTAAGGGAGCAGCTCCTGAGGGCACAGGAGGAGGCAGGGTGGATCAGGACTCTGCCCTTCAGTCTGTGTAGTTGCTGCTGCAAGGAGACACTCAGGAGCCCAACATCCATGGGGAAATAACCTGCTCACATAACCCAGGAGGAGATGTAAGAGCCAAGAACTGGCTCAGGCCTCGAGGCAGCAGCCAGGGAGGCAGGCCCAGTGTAGGGCAATGAGGGGGGAAACTCACGGCGTCTTGAAATCATTTGGGTTTCTCAGAGCCACCAGTCTGTGCTGAAGAGAAAAGCCCTCTTGGTTGTGCTGGCTGTGCAGAGGCTGGGCTGGCCCAGTGGGTGGTAAGGAGGAGCAGGTTTCAGAGCACTGCTGTGGCTGTCAAAGTGAGGTAGGAGCCTTTTTCTTCTCCTGTGTGTAGACCTAGTTTGAGATTGGGAAAAGCTTTATAGATGAGTGAATGTGGGGCTGAGCCAGAGCACGATGTTTTCCCTGGCATCTGAGATAACCAGTGCATGCTGAGGGGCAGGAGAGCTGCACGTTGGGGAACCCCCTGCCTGAAGGGGCTTTGCTTCAGGCTGTTCTAGAAGGGGAATTGGTTTTGTCTCAGCAGATCCTTCACAGGACGTTGGTGTTGTGTTTTGCTTTCACAGGTGATTAACTGATGAAGAGAGGAGAAGGCACCATGTGCACATCATACTCTGGGTGCTGGCTTTGTGTCTGTTTCCTTAAGCTGGGAAGTCATTCTTTTCTTTTGTTCTGGGTGATTTCAGTGAGCTGTCGAGCACACAGAGTAGCCTTAGAGAGGCACTAACCACGAGAAGGCTCAGATTCCTGTTTACTTAAAAGCCATGCTGGAACAAAGGGACCAGTGGGGACAAGCTCTCCGAAGGAGGACTGCAGAGCAAGGAGTTCCAGTCCCTACCTCCACCCTGTGCCATGCAGAGCTTCCAGGGACACACAGTGTCCTGCACCAAACCACTCACCTTCCTTCACTGACCAACAGGAGCTGAAGTTTCAGCAATCCTTGGGTTGACAGTGTTTTCCCTGCAGTTTTGGGGATGTTCTGAACACACAACCTCTTGGTGACAAGCCTGAGACAGGCTGTGCTGCCCGATGCATTTGGCCAAGAGTGGTGGCTGTGAACAAACCCAGTGAGGTTCCCCTTGCTATTTAATTGAGGTGAAACATTCTCACATCTCTGCAATCCAGAATCATCCCCAGCTGGTCAGGGGCTGCTTGCTGGGTTCTGTGTTTCATCATGTGCCTTTAACAGTTATTTAGCAGTTAGAAAATTCCAAAGGTGATGCCTGTGCTGCCTGTATTTTGCTGATGAGTATCTCATGTTGGAGCAAAAGAACTTCCAGGCCTGTTCAGAGAAGTAGAAATTACAAATACCTTGTGGATTAGCCCAGTCCCACACAGCCACTTGCTTTTTCCCTGTGGGATGGGAAAGAGAATTGGAAGAAAGTGAGAAAACTTGTTTGCTGAGATAAAAATAGTTTAATAGGTGAAGTGAAAACTGGGCTTGCAGGCAGATCAAAGCAAATTAAGGAATTTGTTCATTAATTCCCCTCATCAGGCAGGTGTTCAGCCATCCCCAGAAGAGCAGGGCGTCATCACACCTGGTGGTGACTTGGGAAGACAAACACCAGAACTCCCAATGTCACAAACCCAAAACAACACCACCGTTCTATGAAGAAACTTAACACGAAAATTAACTTAATCCCAGCCAAAGCCAGTACAAAGCTGTTACTGTCAGGTTCCTCCAAGAGAAAACAATTACTGGAAGGTGTGTGTGCTCCTTCGTGTTTGAGCTTCTCAGAATTCTGTAATCTTGCACTGGGGGATTATGTGGGGCTTGTTCTAGCTTGGGGGAAGGATGCTGAAGGAATTGAAGGTGAAAGAGCCTTAGAACTATTAATGTTAAAGCGAACTGAAAAATTATTACTAAATGCAATTAATAGAGAGTAGAAAATTATATTTACTGTGCAATAAGTGGGATTTCTTCATGTCTGGTGAAAATCCATGTGCTAAGCCTTTTTGATGATACACTTTGCAAGCCACTAAATAAACACTGAGAATTTAAATAATAAACCGAGTGTGGTAAGTCCTTGCAGTCTCCTGAGGAATCCTGCTCTGCTGGTCCCGGCTCTGGCCATGGCTTGGCTGAATGGCACACAGGTGTTGTGAGGTGTCCCTGGCACCCTGGCAAGGATCCCCCAGAGCTCTGTTGGGCACTGAAAACACTCCTGGAGCCAGGCAGGGAGTGAGGTGAGCCAGCAGAGGAGCTGGCCTGTTTCCCCCTCTCAAATCCATGCTGGATTTCCTGCCACCTGCCTGCTTGGGGTCTTTTAGATCCCGAGCCTGAGCGTTGCATCCCGACAGCAGCTGTGGCACGTGGGCCAGCGTGGGCAAAGCCACGTGGTCTCTGCCATCCCACGCCAGGGCTGAGTCACTGCCCTGGCTGGGAGCAGCCACCCAGGGCACCACAGCCCAGGATGGGGTGCCCTGGGTGCCAGCAGTTGGGTAAAGGGCATCTCATACCCAGCAAGAGCCTTGGGCCAGGGCCAGCTCTCCCGTGGGAGGAGATCACCCCTGGCCATGGCAGGGGAAGGGCTTGTGCCTGCTTGCACTCCCCACAGGAGGCTGGTGGAGAGAGAAGCTTCTCTGAAGGTAACTTGCTTTTTTCCTTCGTTTTTTAATGAGTCACTTGCTTTCTCAGGCTGTGTCACGCAGCTGTGGCAGTGGGTTGGGAAGGGCAGGATTTAATCGTCGTAAGGGGATCTCGGTGTCTTGGTTGGTTGGGCAGGGAAGCACGACCAGATCTCTGGTCCTGACTAAAGAGTGAAATGCTGCTCCTGGGAAGCAGGGTGAAATATCTGCAGTGTTTTGTTGTGTTTCTGTGAAGATACGTGAGGGTGAGGGTTATGGGTGCAGGCAGGATCCGGGCACACAGCTCTGTTCCCAGCTGACTGCCCACCCAGGCCACGGTCATCTCTGTGTTTTGGCTCCTTGGGAACACCCCTGTGAGCAGAGGGTGGAGTGGCTGGTGGGTTTGAGTCTTGGAGAAAGCACCCTCAGAAGAGGATCAATCAGCAAACCCCAGATTGCTCTGAGAGGTGCCCTGTGCCGGTGGAACAGGGCTGGGGTGCTGTGAGCCCTCAGCACTCCGCTTGAGAGTGGGAGCTCCTCACAAGAAGGACAACATCCCCCAGCCACGCTCGGGGTGGGACACTCATGGAGGTGTTCCCAGGGCTCAGCACCCCTCCATGGCCCTGTGGTGAGCTGGGGGTGGCCGGTGTCTCCTCAGTGCTGAGCAGCCATGGAGAAGATGCAGCAGATCGTGGGGCGGGCCAGGGCCGCCTTCAGGTCGGGCCGGAGCCGCCCGCTGGAGTTCAGGATCCAGCAGCTGAAGGCCCTGGAGAGGATGGTGCAGGAGAAGGAGAAGGAGATCATGGCAGCCCTCAAGGCCGATCTGAACAAGGTCTGTGTTGTCAGGGGGTCCCTCCCCTTTGCTGTGCAGGACAGTGGGTAACCCTGAGCAAAGCAGGAAGGCCAAGGGCTGCCTCTGCAGTGACAAATGGTTTTTGTCGTGTCCCCCACCGTGGAATTGCATGACTCTGACTCCCCAGGGTGCCATGGTGGCTGTGGGAGGTGGGTGCCTTTTCCATCCCTTCCCCAAACTCCACGTTGTTACAGAGTGGGCCCAACGCCTACACCCAAGAGATCCTGGGAGTGCAGAGTGAGCTGGCCCTCACCATGGAGAAGCTGCCATCCTGGGCAGCCCCTCATCGTGTCAAAAAGGACCTGCTGACCCTGAGGGACGAGGCCTACATCGGCTACGAGCCCCTGGGCGTGGTGCTGGTCATCGGGGCCTGGAACTACCCCTTTGTGCTGGTGATGCAGCCCCTGATCGGGGCCATCGCAGCAGGTGGGGACCCTGCAGGGCCTTGGTGGGGTGGTGGCTGGGCGTGGGGTGGGGATTGAGGGCTCAGTGTCTGTGCTGTGTGTGGTCTGCAGGCAACGCCGTGGTGGTGAAGCCGTCGGAGGTGAGCGAGAACACGGCTCGGCTGGTGGCTGAGCTCCTCCCACAGTACCTGGACAAGGTGAGTGTGGCCCCAGTTTGGTCCCCTCATTCGTCTGTGTTACAGTGATGAGCTGGGTTGTGGTGACCCTCACACTCCTTCCCTGCAGGATCTGTATGCTGTGGTCACTGGAGGAGTTCCTGAGACAACCGAGCTGCTGACCCAGAGATTTGATCACATCCTCTACACTGGCAACACTGCAGTGGGCAAAATTGTGATGGCAGCAGCTGCCAAGCACCTGACCCCTGTCACCCTGGAGCTGGGGGGGAAGAGCCCCTGCTACATCGACAAGGACTGTGACCTGGCTGTCGCCTGCAGGTCAGGTTCTTGCACCCTTGATGGGGCCTCAGCAGCAGGGCAGGGGGACATCTCTGGGCCAGCATTCCCAGCTCAGGTGCTGGCAGCTGGGCTGAGGGGTGGGGAAGGGACTGACCATGGAGTAAGCATGTCCCTTTCTCCTTGTCACAGGCGGATAACGTGGGGCAAGTACATGAACTGTGGGCAAACCTGCATCGCCCCAGACTACATCCTGTGTGACCCATCCATCCAGAGCAAGGTGGTGGAGAACATCAAGGCGACTCTGAAGGTGAGGGGGGAGTCCCTCGTGCTGTGGAGATTGTCCCAGCTGTGATTTCCTGGAGCTGTGGTTGTTGGAAGATGTGCTGAGCACTTTTGTTTCTGCTGTTCCCTTTGTCAGGAATTCTATGGGGAGGACGTGAAGTCATCTCCAGACTATGAAAGGATCATCAACCAGCGTCACTTCAAGAGGATCCTGGGCTTACTGGAAGGGCAGAAGATCGCTTATGGGGGAGAGACTGATGAGGCCTCCTGCTTCATAGGTGCTCCAGGCAGCTGCTGTGGAGGGGAGGTGGTGGTGGGTGCTTTGTGGGGTCTGTTTGTCTGTGCCTCACTTGGGCTATGTTGAACAGCCCAAGGTGCTGTGCTGGGCCAGGTCTGTGTCCTGCTCATGCTGTTCTCCCATTTGCCTCAGCACCAACCATCCTCACGGATGTTTCCCCGGAGTCCAAGGTGATGGAGGAGGAAATCTTTGGACCAGTGCTGCCCATTGTGACTGTCAAGAGCGTGGAGGAAGCCATTGAGTTCATCAACCTTCGGGAGAAGCCTCTTGCTCTGTATGTCTTCTCTAACAACAAGCAGGTGGGTCTGGGCTGTGCTCCCTCCTGGAAGTGTCTCTGCACAGCTGGATCCTGACCATGGCTGATCCCAGACACAGCGTTTTGCAGGGTCTGTGGCAGTTCCTTTTCCATGTAAATTGCAGTGTTTGGGGGTCATGAGAGTCCCCAGAGCTGCTGGAAGCTCCCAGTCTCCTGCTGGAGGGCTCTAGGTTTGTACATCTCCCCCACACAGGTGGCTGCTGCTTCCTGCCCTGTCTCCTGCCCCCGTTTCCTGGCTCTGTTGTGCCAGCTCAGGAATTCAGGTCAGGGCTTTGCCCTGCAACAACAGCCCCAGGCATTTTGGGTGGGAGGGCTGAGGAGCACCTTGGCCTGAAGCCTTTTCATTTCGTGGCTGTTCCAACTGGGCAGATCCTATGCTTAAGTGGTGTAAACTGGCCTCTCTCATGGAACAAGGCACAGCCTGTGCCCCCCACAAAGGGGGATGGAAGCATCACCTTGAACCCTCCCTGCTGTGGTACATGGTGCTGTGCCTCCTCCTGATTTGTCTGTGCCATTGTGTGTAGCTGATCAGACGGGTGATAGCAGAGACCTCCAGCGGTGGCATGACAGCCAACGATGTCATCATGCACTCCGTGCTCCCCGAGCTGCCCTTCGGCGGTGTGGGTGAGTCCCTGCTCCAGCCCACACACCTGCATTCGATCAGCAGCAGCCTCTGACCCCACCCAGGAGCTGTCTGCCCGTTTGGCAATTCCACCTGCATTTCCCGTTAGTGTAATTTTCTGGGGTGGGTGGGTTGCTTTGTAAAAAGGCTCATTGGTGTTTTGGTTGTTAGGCCCCTCAGTGAGAGAGGAAAACCCCCAGGCTCACACAAGTGAGCTCTGGTTCTCCTGTGCTGGGCTGTGGGATGAATTTGTTCCTGTTGAGATTCCACAGCTGCTGTCAGGCTCCTGTGGTAGTGATCACCTGGCTGTGGGCACAGGGCTGAAGTCTTGGGTGTTGCTAAGTGTCCTCCTCGTGTCCCACTCCTTGAAATCATAAGCTCAGCTCCTCCTGTCCCCAAACCCTGTGAAAATTCTGTGGGAAAAGCAAGGCTGGCCCTGGGAGGAGATAACTGGGGTCATTAACTTATTAAGGGTGGGTTCACACAAGCACCTGAAGGCAGGTCCTGGCTGATTTCTGCAAAGTTAACAAAGCTGCTCTTTGCTCCTCTGCCCTGAGGAGGAGCATGACCAAGCTTTCCCTGTGTCCTGGGGGCTGCCAAACTGAGTGTGAGGGACGCAGGTGTCCCTGTGCCTGGTGTGAGCTGCCTGGCTGTGTCCCTCAGGCCACAGCGGGATGGGCGCCTACCACGGCAGGCACAGCTTCGAGACCTTCTCCCACCACCGTGCCTGCCTGATCAAGGACCTGAGGTGGGACGTTGTGAACAAGCTGAGGTACCCACCTGGCAGTGTGGAGACGATGCATTTGGCCAAGATTTTCCTGCTGAAGCAGTGTTACAGGAGCAGAGTGGGACAATTCATCTCGGCCCTGCTGGCGGCTGTGAAAGCCGTGGTGGCAAAGGTGAGTTTGGGGCTCTGCTGTCCCTGTGGGTGTGTGTGCTCCCAGCTCTGTCCCCTGAGCTCCTCCTAGCCCTTCATCACCCCGTTCCTCTGAGCTCTGCTCCCTCCCTGGAGGACTCATCCCTGTTTCTGTGCCTTTCCAGGTGTTGTGCCCCCACTGAGAGGGGTGATGGGCAGCCAGCCCTTGGACCCGCTGCTCCCTCCCTACAGTCCTACTGCTGAACTTTTCCTTGCTGCAATTTCATTTCTTCCAAGGTAGCCAATACACTGAAGAGGTAGAAGATAAAAAAAATGCACCCAAAACAGAGACACCCCAAGTTAAAGGCTCCAGCTCCTGCTGAAACAGGAATCTATCCAGACCTAGTCAGTGGATCATGCCTGAGCAGTGAGTGGCAGAGGGAAGGAAACAGCATCCACCCTGCTTTGTAAACAGTAGCTCCTCTAAAAACTCCTGGGAACGTGGGAGTGTTTGTCACAAGGGTATCTAAACAAAGCCAGTCGTTACTGAGCCTGTTATCTCTGTAACACCTCACCTGATCCCCAGAGGAAGCTGCTCATCACAGCGATAAGCCTGGGAAATGAGGGTCTCGCTGCAGGGGACAGTCCGGGCTGGTTGTCCCCCGAGCAGAGGAAAGGAGCCTCGAAGAACCTGCAGCATCTCAAGGGCCTCATGACTGAACGGGTGATGCTCCTTGCAGGGAAACCACCTTTAGCCATCCAAGGTGTGGCAAAATCCACCTGAGCTGTGGCCATGCTGTCCCAAGGACTTGAGAAGTGCCAGGGACTGTTGTGCTGCTGTATTTGGGGCTACTGGGGCAAAGAGAGGGGCATTGCTGCAACTGGAGTCCCAGGTCTCGGGCACCCTTGGCCAGAGTGGCAGAGCAGCCACAGCCACCTCCTCTGTAACTGAATTTTAGGGGTTTGTTAATTTATTGATAGTCTTTTACCTCCAAACCTGTAACTGAGAGCTGCCCTTGACCCTTGCTGAATAAAGCCTTTATTCTACTGCAAAGGCCACCTGGGGCAGGGTAAGACCCATGTGTGGATGTTCCCTGTTCTGTCCCCAGCCCTGCCCTCAGCCTGCACCCCAAGGAGCCAGTCCCACTCCAGCTGGATTTATTCTTTATTGGCATTTGTCACGGAGCAGCAGGGGGAGCTGGGCTGAGCTCAGCTCCAGTGGGTGGTGACAGCGTGGGCTGGGGGGGCCCCCCACACGCTCAGCACGTGTCAAGCAGCTCAGAGCAGCATTTTGGGTGCCAGAGCAGCCTCGGGGCCCTTTCCCAACCTTCCAAACTCTGCACAAACGCTGCTGAGCACTGACAGAGGCCCTTCGGCTCCTGCGGGACAGGCGTGCGCTCGCTCTGCTCACTGGCTTGTCCATGCTTGGTACGCCTGTCCCTCAGGAAAGGCTTTCACCCCAAAAACAAGTCCCCAAAGTCCTCGGTGCGAGTCAGTCCGTGCTGGTGAGCAGCTTCACGGTGATGCCGAGGGCCAGCGCGGCCACGGCCGCGGCCACGGCCAGCCCGCGCCGCAAGATCAGCTGCTTGGTGACCACGGGGGTGGCAGGAGCAGGGGTGGCCTCCCGCAGCTCCAGCTGGTACCTGGGTCCCTCTGTCCTGGTGATGCCCGTGAGCACAACATCGCTCTGCGCTTCTAATCCCGCTGCAAGGAGAACGGGGCTTCAGGGGTTTGCGGGGCACCGAGGGCTTTCTGAGGGTTTTGTCACAGGGCTGAAGGCACCTTAGGAGCGGTGGAGATCTCAGCCAGGTCCTGCCCCCAGAGGTGGGACCCGGTGAGGACTGCCCACAGGATGTCCCTCTGTCACCCTCCTGAGCCCACGCTTGTAATTACTGCTCTCCCAGCAGCTGAGGGTGTCACCAGCATGGCATTTCCCCATTTTGTGGGCTCGTTCCTGAACCCTTTGGGACCCTTCCTGCACCAAACCCTCTCGTGCCGTACCGACAGAGCCCAGCACCGCCCTGGCAGGGAGGTAAGTGTGGGGCGGCGGGGCTGGTCCCACATCCAGATCCTTGCAGGAGCCTTCGGGGCCCAGGCTCGGCAGCTCCTGTGGGGTCACTCCCGCGCGGCGCTGAGCCTGGCGAGGGAATGTGCCGGGTTTAGTTGGGAATTCCCACCTGGCAAAGCTGTGCTGCCTCTCTTGGGGCCTCCCTGGAGCTGCCGAGGCACAAGGTGATGCTCAGGGCTGAGGTAGCCCGGGTCACCCCATCTGCTCTGAGCTTTGTGTCCCCAACCAGGTGCAGGGAGAAACCTTGAGGCCACCGAGTGCTTGTGCAGGGGAAGCTGAGTATCAGGGATGTCATGGCAGCGCTGGGTTTTGCTCTGGAGCACTGGACATGAGATTGAGCCTGTCTCATCCCAGCAGGGCACTGAGGCCCTCCCCAGAGCAGGGATGTGCTGTCAGTGCCTGGATTACCTCCTTGGCTGCCTTCTCCCAGTCCACACGGGAGATGTAGGTCAGGAAGCAGGTGCAGAGGATGAAGACGCAGACGAGCATCGCGATCCACAGGCCTGCAGAGGGCACACAGCGTCAGCCAGAGCCAACCCAGCATCCCAGGACAGCCGGTCCAGAAAGGGAATGTCACCCAGGTCAGTGGGGAGCACAGAGTGCTCATGGGTGCTTTCTTTGTGGTTACTTTTTCCCAGTAAAAGCTCCCAGAAGCTGCAGGAGCCATCCCAGTCCACCCCAGTGAGTGCAGGCAGGTCAGCAGAGGGACAGAGCCAGGCACAGGGGTTGTGGTGAGCCCCCAGTGGAGCTGCAGCTGCCCATGGGGGGTTTGGGGGTGCAGTGCCCAGGGGTCAGTACCCATGACGCCAATCTTGACCACGAAGAGCAGCACAGCTGCCAGGGGCATGCCCACACCATAGTAAGTCACGGCGTTCATGATGGCACCGAATTTCTGCTTCCCAATGCCTCTGAGCAGCCCACTGCAGGCACCCTGCCAGGAGAGGGAGAGGGGCTGGGGCAGGGAGCATCACCTTGGCCCAGTTCAGGAGCTGACCCAGCTCCCTGCCTCTGCCCATTATTTCTGTGTCCCTGCCCAGTCCTATGGGTCACCATCCTTTTATGCGCTCGATGTTTTCTAAGGGATGGTCCCAGGAGGTCTGCAGGGTCCTGGTGTGGGCACTGGTGCTCAGCTGCAGCCTGAGAGATCCTCAACTGCCTGATCCATGACACTGCTGCTGAGCACCCCGTGGAAAATAGCAGCATTCCCTGGGACTTACAGTCATGGCTTCAAACAAGTGGAAGACAACGTAGATAGGCATGACCCATGCCACCAAGTCAACGATTTCCCTGGGGATGGAGGAAAGCCAAGGATCATTTTTGGGAACTGACCTCCACTCACCGAGGCCAGGAGGTGGGGACACTCACTTGTCCGTGGTGAAGATGTATCCCAGCACGTTCCTTGTGGCAGCTAAAACGGACACCACGATTACAGAGGACACTCCTGAAAAGAGAGCACAGAGCTGAGCCCAGCCTGGCCGGAGAGCAGGGGGAAAAGAGGCAGGCAGAGGACTGCAAACACTCCTTGCTGCATGGGAAGGAGGCCAGGAAGAGGCTTTCCAGGCTGCTGTGGACTGACCTGTGCAGATCAGGCTGGTGTAGGAGGATCTCTTGGCCACCTCGACGTTGCCGGCGCCCAGCGCGTTGCCCACCTGCACACTGGCAGCTGTGCCCAGCCCCAGGGGGATCTGCAAGCACAGGGCTCACGTGTGTCTGACAATGGGGCTGTCACAGTGACAGGGGGATACCCACCCAGCAGAGAGCAGGATGGAGTTCAGGATTTGATTTAAAGCATCTCCGTAAGGAGGGATAGGCAGGAGCAGGGAGAGATTAGAGTGAAGAGGGGAAGGTGAGGGTTTTCTGGAGCAGATTTTGGCTGTGTGCCTGTCTCAGGACAGCCCCACGGAGCCCTGGTGTGCAGTGATAACCCAGCCCTTACCATGAAAGCCACAACAGACACCTCATAGATGATGGACTGGACGGAGAGCTCGACAACGCTCAGCAGCCCTGTGGGACAGGAGAGGTCAGTGCTGGCTGTGGGTGCTGCTCTGGGTCAGGCCTGGCCGTGTCCTGGCAGCTCCCCTCTCCACTGACCTATCAAGAAGCTCCCAATCTCGTAGGTCCACCACTCGATGCACATCATGAGCATGCTGGGGATGGCCAGGGAGGTGAAGCTGTCCCACTCCAGCAGGCACTCGCTGGACCAGCCTGGTGAGAGGAAGAACAACACCTGATGGATGATCAGACTGGCCAAGTGCTACACCCTGCACAGCACCCGGGGCAGCTGGAGGGGCCTGTCCTCAGAGCCAGCACTCCACAGGATCTCCAGCAGCTCAGTGTCCACCTACAACCTCTGTGCTGCTGCCCCATGGGCCACAGAGCAGCACAATCCTCAGCCTTCCCTCCTGGAGCTGGGTCCAAGGACAACCTCCTGCTTATGTCTGTGCTCATCCGGCTTTGGGGCTGAATCTTCCAAAGCCTCAGCAGAAAGTTTCATTTCTGCAGAATTAATGTTTAGTGCTGATCACACAGCTCTGCCAGTGCTGGTGCGTGACGAGTGCCACTGAAGCAGCACTGTGGTACCCGGGGCACCGCGGGCTGGGGTTAATATTTCACCATCAGGATGAGCAGAATTCCTCTACTATCAAGAACACCTGATAGAAGTTTTATGGACACTTCTGGGTCAAGCAGGAAGCAGAGGGAGCAGGGGAGATGCCCTTACCTCCCCAGGTGTTCACGTGCAGCTTCCTGCATATGATGTACAGGAACAAGAAGATGGTTTGTGAGTACTGAGCGATGGTGTTGGCCCAGGCAGAGCCCCTGCAGAGGAAGTGAGAAAGTTCATTGGCATCCCGCTTGTGCCTCCCTCAGGGTGGAAAAAAGACAACCTGCTGTCCCCCTGGGAGCTCAGTGTTCCCTGGCCATTGCCAGGTGCCCTGTTCTGCTCTCCAGGGGACAGAGATGCCACTCACGTGACGCCCAGGTGGAACACGAAGAGGAGGATGTAGTTTGCAGCCGCGTTGGTGACATTGCCGATGACCCCACTCAGCACCAAGGGCCACATGATCATCTGCAAAGAGGAGGAGATGGGAGGGTCTTCCCAAAGGTTTTGGGAGGGAGGTGTGAAGGTGCCCCCAGCCCCATTCTCAGTGCCTTTCCCAGAAAAAAAACCAAAATTTCAGTGATGTCGCCTGCTTGGAAAATGAGTGTGAGAGAGGTAAATCCCTGATGTGGGGAAGTGTGAAGGGAGGTGGATGGATACAACTGGCTGTGGAATGGGGCGATCTACAGGGTCAGAGCCATTTTGGGACACTTGGGCTCCTTGTCACTGGGAACAGTGAGCATGGAAACCCTGGATGCACTGTGGAAGGGAGCCCTGAGCCAGGGTGGGTGTGAGGACTTCGGGACCCACCTGGTTCTGCAGGTATCTTGTCTCCAGGTTATACAAAAAAACCGCCTGCAAAGGAAATTTTGGATGAGATGAGCCAGTGCTGAGCTGTAGGATGGGGACAGCCTGTCCCACGTGCAGGTGGCACCCAGGGTGCCCACGGGCACTCACCGGGAGGGCAGGGAGAAAAGCATCCACGTAGCGCTGGGTCAGCCTGGGGGCACAGAGAGGGGGTCAGGGGGGGACATGGCCATGGCCACCCTCCTCTCAGCCCCTCCACCCTGGGGAGGGATGAGGGGGCCACCCAACCTGGAGACATCGGGGTCCTGATGCATGAGCAGCATCAGCGGCTCGACGTTGATGAGGATGGCGCAGCAAGGGAAGCAGCAGAGGAGGATGATGATGGTGGCACGCTGCAGGATCACCCCCACGCGCAGCAGGTTCTTGCTGCCATAGGTCTGCAGGGTGACAGGGCAGCGGTGAAATCAGCTGGTGCTGGGGGGAAAGGGACCCTGGAGAGCATGGAGCAGCCCTGACCACTCTGAACCCTTCCTGGGAGGGATTTGGAGCACGGATCTCCTCGTTATGGATTGTTACCTGGGGAGAAGCTTCCCCAGCTCGCAGGAGCAGCCAGGGCTCCCTGTGGTGCCTGGGTATCATCAGCTGATACTGGAAACCCCCCGTGTCCCCAGGACAAGCCAGCATGTCCTACCCACCTGTGATATCAAGGTGTCACACGCTGAAGTCAAACCGTAACCTACAGAGATGGCGGTGACATTTATAACCTGGGAGTTAAAAAAGCAAGGAGTGAAGGTGAGCATTTAAGACATTCAGGTAGGGAGAGGGGCTGAAAGGAAAAGTGGGAGTGTGAAACCTCCTCTGTCCTTTTCCCCTGCCATATCTCATCCCCGTGTCAGCAGGGAGGGAGCTGGTGCCCGGCCCCGGGAATGCTTACAGCGATGGCCAGCGTGACAGAGGCCAGCTCAACCCTGCCCAGGTGGCCACAGAATATGGAGCTGACGAGGTGGATCAGGAAGATCAGCAGCTGGATCAGGATCTAAGCAGGTAGGAGAGCTGAAGGTTAGGGATGGAGGTGAGCGGGGTGGTCGTGCCGGGGGCAGTCTCTTACCAGCGGCCCCGCCAGCACCAGCAGCTGCCTCACGTCCTCCCAAAAGTTCTCCGGAATCCAGCGGCGTTTCTTCTGGCAGCTCTCGGCTGTGAGGTTACCCTGGCCATTCTCCTCGGGGAAGCTCTCCGGCTTCATGCTGCCCTGCCGGGGGAGTGCAGCGAGCCCCTTCCTCCGCGCTCTGTTAAACCCATCGGGGGCGAGCAATGTGTAACCACGGCGGGCTGAACTTCAGCCGGGGCCGGCGGGGCTGCCCGCGGCTGGGCTGCCCGGGGGAAGCGTGGGCACCGGGTCAGGGCAGGGCACGGAGCCCAGCGGGGTCCTGGCAGCGCTCAGGAGCCCGGACACACCGTGCCCAGCGCTGGCTGCCTGTCCTGAGCCAGGTTTGGGGCTGAACCATCCTAAAATCCACCCTGTGAGCCTTCCTACCTCTGCTGGAGGCTGCTGCTGCTCTCTCAGCGGCGGTGGAGGGCTGTGGGGTGTGCGGCTGTGCTGAGCTGCTGCCGGCAGTGGCGGGGCTGTGTCTCACCCACTCCCATCACAGCGGCCGGGACAAGCCGGCCCCTTGGCTCCTGCTGTCCTGGCACAGCCCCGCCGTGTCGGGTTTCACTGGCAGCGCTCCCCCAGGCCGAATGCAGAGTCCTTGGCCCGGAGCGGAGGGGAGATGCTGCCAGTGCAGCCCCCTCTGCTCGGAGTGGGCTGGGATAACTCATGGGACAGAGTGAGACACCTCCCTGCTCTCCCCTCACTGCCGGCCCAAACCTACCGGGATTCTGAGCAGGGCAGGATCTGCCCCGTCCTCCCGCTGCTGCTGGGGATGGTGGCAGGTTCAAATTTGGTGTCACATTTTTTCATTCACAGGCCACCAGCACCAGGAGACAGGGGTGACAGGGGAGGTGCCACACGTGTGTGTGAGGTATTGACCTTCCAGGGCCCAGCAGCTGACATGTCACAGTCACACAGGTGCAGGTGAGAGCCTGGGACAGCCCAGAGGAACTCAGTGCTGGGCTGTCTGCATTGTGACACAGGATAGTTCTTTGATGGCCCTGTAGGGTTGAGAAACACAACCTCCCTCTTCCACAGTGACAACAACAAATCTTGCTTTTGTACTCGAGGGGAAGAGTGATAACACTGTGTCTGGAGCCAGCCCCAGACCTCAGGGCCAGGACCAGACCCACAATCTTTCCTCTTAACAGCACAGTCCTGCCAATGACCAGGGTCACGCTCACACCATATTAAACAGCTCAACATTTACTCAGAAAACTTTATTGTATCAAAATCCCACCTTACAAAAGTGCAAAGAAGAGTTGCTTTAGGCCTTGTGCCCGCCCTGCAGAGGGAGAGCAGGGTCAGGGCCAGCAGCCAGCACCCAACAGCAGAGTCTGACATCTTCCAGCAAAATCCATTTGTTCCACAGTGGCTGCGAGTGGCATTTGCCACCCCAAGATGCTGGGACAGGCTGGTGTGTGAGGAGATGTGCTGTGGGCAGCAGGAGCCTCTGCCATGAGCAAATGACACGGTCCAATGTCCCCAGAGAGCAGGACAGCAGCACCAGGACCCTGTCTCCTTCCAGGCTCAGCCCCAGGATACGCTCCCACCTCTCATAAGCGACACCCCAGTGCAGAGCAGGAGAGGAACCACCTCTCCAGCTTTTTTTTTTTTCCCAGGTGCCACATCCTCACCCCCTTCAAGAACTCTGCGTGTGGGATAAAACACTGTGAGCTAACCAGAAACCGTGCAAGGGGACTTTTTGTAAGGCACTGTGGGGGAATTCCTCCCCCACCCCATCCTCTGGGACATTGCCACGTGCCCTCCTGCTCCCTGTACAGCTCCCCAGTGTCCCTGGCTTTAGCCATTGCCAGTCAGGAGCCGGACCAGGATTCCCACCAGCAGGACAGCAATGGCAGCAGCAGCAGCCAGCACACGGCGGAGGATCACGGCCCTCCATGGCACAGGGGGAAGGAGAGGGACAACAGCAGGCTCCTCCTGCGTGCTGAGCTCGTGGGCAGGCTGCCTCTCAGCCATCACCATGCTCTCGGGCAGCACCGTGGTGTCCCTGGTGTCCGTGTCAAGGGAGGTGTAACCTGTGGGACAGACAGCGCTGCAGGGAGGCTGCACGAGCCCCTGTGACAGTCCTCAGGGTCCTTTCCCAAGGCTTGGGGACACTGGGACACACAGCTGCAAGATGTGTCTTGTACCCCGTTGTACCCAGGGCCAGCAGCAGCCACTGTGCTCCTTCCAGCCATTTGAACCTCCAGGACAGACACGGTTGCCACAATTGGGAAGGGAAGGAAAGGAAGGGTCTGGGTGGAGAATTTGGGCTCCCTGTCCGGTGTCAGGCCCAGCTACATACCCACAGCAGATGTTTTGTTAGCAGCTGTGCCATTGGAGTTCACATCTTCCACTTGTTCTTTCATTCCAGCTCGGACTTGAGCCTAAAAGCACAGGGAAGAGTTGCTCTTCTCAGGGCAAGAGCGCCCTGCCCAGCCCAAAACACCCTCCACTCTCCCAAGACAAGCATTCTCAGTACCAAATTGCTTCTCTGCTACAGAAGGACAGACCTCAGGTCACTTCTGCCACCTCCTAGAGGGCTGTAGTGTTGTACTGAAACAGGAATTAACTCGGCACCCTTCAAGAACTACCAGAGAAAAGCACAACTCTCACCTCCTCTGCAGCTTTCCTCCAATCCATGCGGACGACAAAAGCCAAGAAGGAAAGGGCTTGCACGGAGATGCAAATGATCATCCCAACCCACAGACCTGCAGCAGTGGGAAGTTACTTCAGGGAGGGCTTGAGGAAAACCTGGCCTTTGCCAGAATGCCCAAGGACTTCAGCCCATGAACTTTGAAAGAAACAGGTCCTGGGGAAGCTGGGAGTAAGCCTGGATTTACTGGGACCAACTCAGTGCCCGCCCCAACCACAGCAGTGCGCAATCCGACCCCACGGATCCAAAGGAAGATCCGGGCACGAGTTCCAGGGCTGAGCCTTTGCTCAACACCCCTCAAACCACGCCAGCTGGAGGGCACACGTACCTAACACCCCCATCTTGGCTGCAAACATCAGGGAGATGCCGATGGGGAAGCCGATGGTGTAATATCCCACGGCGTTGGCCACGGCGCCCAGCTTCTGCCGGCCCGTGCCCCGCAGAACCCCGCCACACGTCGCCTGAGGAGAGAGGGCACAGGGCCACTGCCAGGGGACTCCCGGGCATGGCACAGCCCTGGGGACAGGGAAACCCACAGCACTGCCCCACCGAGCCAAGAGGGAGCCAAGTCATGCTCTGGAGTGTGTATTGTGGGGCTCGTCTCGCTCCCGGGGGTGACACAGACACCGAGCTGATCCCAAAGAGATTCCTCACAGTGCCCAGGTGCCTCCCACAGGACAGGACAGGAGGAAACAGGACAGAATTACTGTCTATTGAGTATCCCAGTGTGCTGGGAGAGCCTGGTATCTCTGGAGAGCCAGCTGCTCACTTGTGTTGCTTTGATAAACCAGTAAAAAGCTGGAGCTGTGGCCAGGGAAAAAGAGGAGGAAAAACTGGGGTGCCTGCAGCAATGCCAAGAGGCAGCCACAAGCACAGAGGTAACACTAGCAGCTGCTTTGACAGTTTCTCAGTTGGCACCTCTGGATCATTTTAACAGGTCCAGAGTGGCTTCATGCAGCTTTGGACCCCAAGCTGCAGAGAGGAGTCACCCCACGTGCTGCAATACTCACTGCTGTGGCATCCAGCAAGTGGAACGGGCCAAAGATGAGCATCACTCTGGACACCAAGGTGACAATCTCCCTGTTGGGAAGATGGATGGATGGACTGATCAGGGGAAGCAGCACCACTTGGTCCCTGGTTCTCACATAATCAACCACAAAGGCTGATCCCAGTTCCCTGATCCCAGTTCCTTGATCCCAGCCTGCTACCATGGTAGTGTCCCAGTGTTAGGAGCAGCTGTGCTGCCCAGGGATGCTGGGAAATGGGGAGGGACCTTTGAGAAATGTTTGCCAGATAGGGGTTTATGACCTCTTATCTGTCAGCAGCTCCTGGGGTATAAATAACAGCCTCCAAGAAGGCAATAGTACTTAAAAGAAAGCTGTTAACCCACGTGTCATTGGTGAAGATGTATCCCACCACGTTCCTGAGGCTCCCCAGTAATGCTGCAACCACCACAGCGAAAACTCCTGAAAGAAAAAGGAATAGTGAAATTTCTCCAAGGGCAGCACATCCTGCTCCTGAACCAGACCTAGACCTCAGGGACTCCATGTGGTGGGGACTGGACTTCACTGACCTCAAATGATACTGCAGCAGAGGACAAGTCTGTTTTCCTCTCCCTCTGGAGTGTGAGGACAGAACACTAAGCTGCATTTTTAAGCATCAAAGCCTTTGTACCAGGCCCATAACAGAAAAGATGAGTCAGGATCTTGCCTTGCCTAAAGGGTCCAAACAAGTGGGACTGGGTTCCTGTGGGAGGTCCCCAGCCTTGGGGGAGGGAAACTGAACCATTTGCTGATAATTGCCCTTTATTCTGCTCTGCAGGACTGCACTGACCTGTGCACAGCAGTGCAGTGATGCAGGAGGTCTTGGCTTGCTCCACATTCCCTGCTCCCAAGGCATTCCCCACTCTGACACTGGCAGCCACACTGATGCCCAGAGGCACCTGAGAAGCAGGAGACAAGAGGGGGTGAGTGACAGAGCCTGCAGTGACAGAGCCTGCAGTGACAGCAGAGCCTGCAGAGATTTTCTTCTTCCCCAGTGGGAAATTGGGGACAAACTGGCATTGCTGCAGTGAAGGGATTTTCCATCTACAGCACACCCTGGATGTGCAGGCTGGAGAGGCATCACTGCTACCAAGCCCTGCTTCCCAGCTCAGCTCTGATCCACAGGGCCAATGTTTTGGGGTTCTTCCCAGGTTTAGGGTTTCACACCCCCAGCCCTTACCATGTATGCCACACAGGCGAGCTCGTAGATGACAGATTGTGCACCCAGCTCCACCACACTGATCAGCCCTGGAAAAGATTTGCCACCTCCTTCACTGGCTGAAAAGGAGGCCCCTGTCCCCATGGAATAGATGGGAACACCTGCAGTGTCCTGCAGACCCTCCCTGCAGGTGAGGAGGCTGCTGCTGCCAGGGGGGCTCTGGGGACACGCTGAAGCAGCAGCCACCAGGAACCAGAGGGAAAAGAGGATTTGGACTCACCAGCCAAGAAGCTCCCAATCTCAAAGGTCCACCACTCAATACACATCATGACCATGCCAGGCACTGCCAGCCAGATGAAGGAGCCCCAGTTCACGAGGCACTCCCTGCTCCAGCCTGACAGGAGGAGGTGAAGCAGAATGAACATGAGTTATCCACCTGCTCCCCTAAAGGGGAGCCACATCCACTCTCTGAGGACAGCCCCACCTCTGACAACCCCCCAACTCTGAGGACAACCCCCCTGCAGCTCACAGGACATCAGCCCAGGACTGCTGCTGTGCCATGCTGCATTCCTGAGACAGAATATTTGACAAGAATGTGTTTGGATCTACACTAAAGGCCTTGAGGACACGGCTACAGCATCTTCCCACTGGGAGGGGA